TTTAACATAGTACTAGAAGTCCTAGCCAGAGCAATTAGGCATGAAAAAGAAATAAAAGACAACTAAATTAGAAAGGAAGAAGTTAAACTGTCCTCTTTGTAGATGACATGATCGTATAAATAGAAAACCCTAAAGACAAGAAAAAAAGTCACAGCTAATATACAAATTCAGTTAATTAGCAAGATACAAAATCAACACACAAAAATCAATAGCATTTCTATACACTAATAGCAAATTATCCAAAAAAGACATTATGAAAGCAATTTCATTTACAATGCATCAAAAAATACTTAGAAATAAATATAACCAAGGAGGTAAAAGACCTGTACACTGAAAACCATAAAACATTTATGAAAGATACTGAAGAAAACATGAACAAATGGAAAGATATCCCATGTTCATAGATCGGAAGAATTAATATTGTTAAATGTCCATACCCAAGCCAATTTACAGACTCAATGCAATCCCCATCAAAATTCCAATGATATTTTTCACAGAAATAGAAAAAAAACTAAAATTTGTATGGAACCAAAAAGAGCCTGATATACTAAAGCCATCTTGAGCAAAAAGAACAAAGCCTGAGGCACCATACTATTAATACCTGACTTCAAAATAAACTACAAAGCTATATTAACCAAAACAGTATGGTACTGACATAAAAATAGACACATAGACCAATGGAAGATAAGAGAGAACTCAGAAATAAATCCACACATTTATAGTCAATCGATTTTCAATAAAGATGCCAAGAACACACAATCGGGAAACTGACAGTTTCTTTAACAAATAGTGTTGGTAAAACAATGGTGAGCTAACCCTTCTTGTATTATCCTGGATAGAGCTAGAGCCCATTCTACTAAGTGAAGTATCACAAGAATGGAAAAACAAGCACCACATGTACTCACCATCAAATTGGTATTAATTGATCAACACTTATGTGCACATAAGTGTGCACATCTGAGGGATGGACATACTTGTAGCTCTGACTCGGGCAGGGCAAAGGCACTATTTTTAACCTAAATATTTGTACCCCTGTAATATTCTTAAATTTAAAAAACCGGATATCCACATGCAGAAGAATGAAATTAGACCCTTATTGTACAATATATATAAAAATCAACTCAAAATG